TGTGTGTGTGTGTGTGTGTGTGTGTGTGTGTGTGTGCTGTCCCATGCATGCCATAGTAACCTGTGTGAAGGTCAAAGGACAACATGTGGAAGTGGACAGAGGTCCTGGGGTATTTGAAAGTGAATCCCATCACTTGCCCATCGGATATGTGTCTTCAAAGGAGGTGAGGTGGCTTTAAAACTTACTCGGAATGGGGTTGTGGAGATGACTGAGCGGTTAAGAGCACTGTTGCTCTTGTAGGGGACCCAAGTTCTGTTTCCAGCACCCACCTGGTAGTTCACACCCATCTGTCATTCCAGGCAATCCAACACCCTCTTCTTGTCTTTCAGGGCACTAGACATGTACACAAGGCACATACATTCACTCAGACAAAGTGGGCATACACATAAAAAAACAAAACACACTTAGCTGCAGCAAGAGACCACTGAGGGTGTTCACTGTCATGAACAATGCTCTCGGCTTTCGGATATAAGACAGGTCAGATGACAGGGCCTTTATTTGACAACCCAATCCAGTTGAAACAGAGTTTTAGTGACCCTCAAATAGCAACCGCTTGGAGGATCCCTGTGAATCCCACGCCAGCCTGGGCTACAGAGTGAGGCCCTGTCTTAAAAATAAAATGGAGCAACGGTTATACTCAAGGCCCCTTCCCCCACCCCCAGGGAACAACTTACTCAGGAAGACCTTTGAAGTCAACTGTCCCAAAAACTGCCTACTCTTGGCCAGCTCAAAAGCAGGGTGAACACTGTTTCTACTCCTTTGAAAAATTGTTTCTTCATGCCAGGCGATGGTATCCCAGCACTCCCTCAGGAGTCAGAGGCAGGCAGATCTCTGAGGAGTTCAAGGCCTGCCTGGCTTAGAGTTCCAGACAGCCAGGGCGACAGAGAGAAACCCTGTCTCGAACAAACAAACAAAATGTTTTAGGCTGCACAGGGAATGTAGCTTAGAGGTGAGTTACTTGATTAGCACGTCGGAGGCCTTGAGTGGAATCCTCAACAATACAAGAATAAGCATAAATAATGTTTGGGGACTTTGCAAATTTAGTTCATAAATATTAGCCAAGTTTATCATCAGGAAAAAAACGAAAAAAGAGAGAGTGAACAAAACTCTCATTCTCTGTTAGTTTCTTGTGCTCACGGGGCTTCCTTCTCTCCTTCACCCACCAAATAACCCAGATAAGCAAGTTTTTTGTGGTGCTGTTTCTGTAGCTACATCCCCTTCAGACCAAGCCGCAGAATCAGGTCGCCTTTTAAGACCCATTGGCTTTGTGTCCTTACTCAGCACCCTGATCTCTAGACCTACATCCCAAAGTTGCTTCTTCATAACACAAAGTCCCTTTTAGGTATCAACACAACCTTTAGGCTCTTGCTAGGGACAAGGCCCCTCCCACAAGGGCTGTGAGCCCTTGTGTTTCCAAGCTTGTAGCTTCTACTGAGCTCAGGGCCTATGGGCCAACAGGATGGGTTGGGTGAGGGGGCCCACTCTCCAAATCCCCTCTCCAATACTCAGCCTGACAAACCGTGCACACAGACATGACAGGGGATTGTAACAAGGCACCACAGACAATGTAGCTAATGTACCAGGATCCCCTGCAAAGGAGCCAAGGGCCGTTCAGGAAGGGACGTGACCAAGGCACCCGGAAAGAAACTGCTTTTGTGAACGTTCGTTTACTTCCTCTGTTTATCCCTTCTCCAATGGGAAAGAGAGAGAGACGAGGAAAAAGAAAAGTTGAATGCTGGCTGTACTCCGAGAATAGCCCGTAAGCCATTCAGGCAGGATTTCTTTGCAGGATGGATGAACCAGGCTGCCAAAATCAGCAGGGCAAGTAAGTCCCACGTATTCAGTTCCAGAGGGGCCTGGACACAGTTCAGAGAGAGCAGAGGTTCCAAAGACAGAGATGCTGACTCCTGTGTAGAACTGCCAGTCAGACGACACAAGGTAATCTATGTTCTATAAGCTAGTGCGCACCGCCGAGGGAGGAGCCGCTGGGCTCTTTTGGAATCTTCTGGATCCCGTCACTCCCGGATTTTCAAACGCTACTTTTCAGAATTCTAGCCCTTCCTACTAAGGAATTCTCAAAATAGTAATGCTTTGAGAATGTAGCTCAGTTAGCAGAGTGTTTTCTCAGCTTGCACAAATGCCCAGCACCCGCGTAAACCAAGTGTGGTAGACTATGCCTGTAATAGCAGCACTTGAGAAATGGAGGCAGGAAGATCACAAGTTCACAGTTGTCCTTGGCTACATAAGGAATTCCAGAACAGTCTGGGCTACATGAGATTGGCCAGTCCTCGACAGAGAGAGGGGAAGAGAGAGAGAGCTCGCCAAACACTCAAGATGAAGAATAATCTTAAAAAAAAAAAAAAGTGTGTGTGTATATGTGTGTGTGCCTGTGTACACACTCATTTGACACACCGAAGTCAAAATCAGGATCTGCTGGTCCCACCTCCCTACCACTGAGGTGGCAACCACATTCCCCCACTCCAGGCTTTTGTGAGGGAGGTCTGGGGCTCAGACTCAAATCCTCAAGTTTCTACAGCAGACATTTATTATATCTCCAGTCCCCTAAGCAGTCATTTTTAAACCTTAGAGAATAAACATTGATCTCAGCAGATGGGCCCTGGGCATCCTCAGTTCTATCTCAACCGTCGCCTGAAGGGCTAACCCAGGGGCCCAGCTGGGAACTCAGCACAACTTAGGAAGCTCGTTTTGAAGGGGAATAACAAGGTTAATATCACAAAGAAAGAATGACGTCACTAGTGTCTTATAAGTTTCCTCTATTTCCTGGTCTAGTTTTCTTTTTCTTTCCTTTTTTTAAAGTTTTTTTTTTTTTGCCAATCTTTCGAGACAGAATCTTACACCACTACTCCAGCTGACCCCTGACTAGAAACAACCACCTGCCTCAGTCTTCCCAGGTGTAAGCGACCATGTCTGGCTCATCTTCTTCTAAAGTCTATTTTTGTAAAGACGGTTTTAAATTTTTAAGAAAAAAACTTTTTATTTGTTATGTGTGAGTGTGAATGTGTACACACGCATGCATTCATGTGTACCTGTATGCATTCGTGCATGCTCACATGTGGAGATCAGAGGAGCCTTATTGGAGTCAGTTCCTCCTGATGTCTGGGTCCCAGGAATTAAGCTTAGGTCTTCAGACTTAGCATCTTTATGTGTAGAGCCATTTAGCCCAAAAGATAATTTGACCTAGATCCTCAATAGGTATTTGTTGGAACAGAGACAGAGTTTGTTTTTGTTTTACTTGCTTATTTTGCTTTTGTTTTGTTTGGAGGACAGAGTCTCACTTTGTAGCCCAGGCTGCCTAAGGACTCACCAGGTAGCCCAGGCAGGCCTCTAACTAAAGGCAGTATACCTGCCTCTGCCTCCTTAGTGCTGTGATTGGAGGCATGGGCCAGAACAACCAACTTCAAAGTGTTTCAGTTCAGTGATATTTACCCCTTGACCTCTCCCAAAGCTAGTCCTTCCCTTATTATGTTAGCCTTTGAAATGTTTGGAAGAACTAACCTAAGTCAGGCACACTGGTTCATGCCCATCACTCCAGCACGTGTAAGGCTGAGTCAGGAGGATTGCCAAGAGTTTGAGACCAGCCTAAGCTATATCATGAGTACCAAGTCAACCCAAGTGTGAAACCAAACCTGTGTCTTCTTCCCTTCTTCCAATCCCTATATTATGTCTCAAATATTCTTCCATGGAAAAACTTCTACAGGTATTTGGAAAATGATTGAAAATTAATCAAAGATACAATTTACTCAAAAAACACTTCAACAGTATCCTGGTTCTTGTTTTTCCAGATTATACCCTCATCAACATTGTTCACCTGCTCACTCGCTTTCTCTCTCTCTCTCTCTCTCTCCTTTCTTTTCTTCCTTCCTTCCTTCCTTTCTTTCTTTCTTTCTTTCCTTTCTTTCCTTCTTTCTTTGAACAAAAACTACTGGAGCTATGGCAATGTGGTGACATTCCCAAGGAAACCTGAACCAGTATCATCTAGCTATATAGAGACTGTTCAATGATTTTCTATCGTGTTCTAGAAACAACTTTGAAAATTAAATCAAAGTGTGCTATGGTGAACTGACTTAGTGAGGTAACTGCCTTACCGAAAACAAAGCAAAACTCAGGCTCATCAGCATTGAGACTTTTTTTTTCCTATGTCCCTCTACCCCTTCTGAAGAATGTCAAGAATTTGAATTCCTTGTTCTTAAGGGGAAAGGGCATTAACACAAATGGTCTTAGGAAGAGAAGTAGGGAATCCTGAGATGGGGGACCAACCTGACAACAAAATCCCCCAGGTTCAATGAGACCCTCTTTCCTTCAGACATGATTGGAAACAATATTGGCACTGTTGGTCGTCAGTTAGGAGGCAGCAAGGTCGCCGCTGCTTCTCAGTTAGTTCTCTTGCTCTTTTATTTCAACGTACAGCTTTAGATTTAAAACGGTCGCTAAGAAAGCTGGGCGATAAATAAGTGTGTGCCAGAGTTACACATTCTGTCATCAGGGCAAGCGGAACACAGCAGCTTCAAAAAGGTTATTCCACGTGGAGCAGACGTTCTGGACAACCCTCCACTGCGGTGTTACTCAGCAGTAGCTAAGTGACATGGGAAGGGTCTGAGGAGCCACCGGGCTGGCTTGCAATGCCAAAGAGGAATCTACCCATAAAGCCTGAGTCCTGGAAATCTCAGTGGGAGAGTTGGCCCACTCTTCCTAGATTTCCTCCTAGAGGTGCCCAAGGGATGCAGGCAGCTCACAGGCTGACCCTGAAACTGTGTCTACCCAGGGATAAATGTCTCCAAACCACAGTAGAAACCCTAACCCTCCCCATTCAAGGAATGCATGCTGCCCTGCTGATGTTCAGTTCACAAAGAAACCAACTCTGAAATCGGGTAGCACTACCAAGTTCTATAAGGAGCGTGGCCATCACTTTGATACAATGTTACTTTGTTGTTTTAAAATATTTTAACTTTATTATTATTTTTATAGTATTATTCCAACAGACTGTTTAAAGGCAGTGATCACTAATACAGAACACACAGAGGCTAACGGTCAGCCGGGTTGCTCTCAGGACAAGGCCTGTGGCGGCCAGGTCACTGACATGCACGCGGGTAGCGAGTACGCTGCTACCTTCATAGCTTGGGCTGCAAGAGAAGTGACGGAAAAGACAGGTACCACTGGGCCCGTGGAAGCTATTTAATAAATATCATCATCAAAAAATAATAAAAAGGAAAAATAAACCCTCCAGAGTACATCCACCTTAAGTCAACTGAAAGCAAGCTAGTTTATTCAACCAAAAATCCAGGGAGAAGGAAAACATTAAAACAAAAAAAAAAAAAAAGAAAAAAAAGCAGTTCTTAACGCTAGCGGTAAATAAATTTATACAACAATTCAGTCTGTATAATATGATGAAATAAATCTACATCTTTTCTTATTTTGGTGCTTCTGAATTATACATACAGACAACAATTACAGGGCCTAGTTCACAGAGCATGTAGGCCTAGACATGACATTCTCAAATCCTCACTGGCAACTGGTGAGATCTCACACATGATTGCCGGATCTGAAATTTTTTTTTGCAAAGGCTCACAGCCTGGAACAGATGATTTGCCTACAATATTTTTTTTTCTTGGATTTTTTTTTCTTTTCTTTTCTTTTTTTTTCTTTTTCATTTCTTTTTTCTTTTTTTTTCTCTTTTTAAATTTTTTTTTTTTAAATGCATCAAACAACTAAAGGGAAACAAAACTGACAGCGTGCCCATTTGGACATCGAGACTTAGTTTCTTCTGTATCCCCCTCCATACTTTATTTTCCCTATATTCCTTAAAATTCTTGGCGTCCTTCATGCCTTTCTTACAGCTATCCAGGTACAATAAAGTCTTCCTCCAATGTACAGTATTTCTTACAATATAAGTTATATGCAATGTTCAGCAATATTTCTCTTCACAGCACTAGAGACCCTGTTAAATAGGGACCATGAGTCTGAATGGCTTATTCACAAATGGGATCCGGATTCAGTGGTTGGAACACAGACACCACCGGCAGCTCCTTTGAAAAAGAAGCAAACATTTTGCTTTCTGCCTTCAAAAAACACAGATCTGTCGCTTTCGGGCTTCATGATACTGCTCCTGCAAAAACGCAAGTAGAAGGGGTCAGAGGGATGGATTCTTTGCGGACTCAGAAACTCCTCGTGCATACGGAGCAGGGCTCTCCCTCTCTACCCCATGGCGGTGACCATGCTGGAAGGATGGTGAGGTCCAAAGGAGAGGCCGGAGGGCGGGTGCATGGGCGTCGGTGTGGTCAGCATGTGACTGGAGTGGCTGAATGGGGAGATGTGACTCAAAGACGACATGTGTCTGGAGAGGGCAGCCGGGTTGAAGGAGCTGCTCTTGGGGAAGTCCTCCAGCGCGTCGTGCACCTTTTTGCACTTTTTGGACTTGCTAGACATCTTCCGGTTTCGGGTCTGGATGCCTTCCTTCTTCATAGTCAGGGGTCTGTTAATCTAAACAAAGATCAATTTTTTTTTTTTTTTACTTTTTTGCTGCCTTGGAAATGGTACAGGTTTTTTGCACATGGGGCCTGCCACCTGCCCCAGGCCAGCAATGTGTTTCTGTGTTGGTTGGTTGCCCCTTCCTTAGCCCTGCTCCTTCCTTTTTTTTTTTTTTTTTAATTCCAGGGACCCAGGTACTGCAGGTCTCAGGGTACAGGGCTTCTGACTCAGCTGCCACAGCTTTCAAAGTCCAGGGACCCCAAGCAGAGTAACTAAGCTCACTGACATCCAACTCGGGAAGCTGGCAAGTTCAGGCCCCGTCTAGTACGAGGATTGTCTGACAACATAACCTGTCTTCCTTCTTAAAATTTCCCTCAGCATTTCCCGAGAAGACGGGCTTTGAGGCACCTTGGGGGGGGGGGGGCAGGGGAGTGCCATTTTGTTTACTTGTTTCATGAATCTCTTCTGAGACTTGCCACATAGAGCAGGGGAGAGTCAAGCCTCCCGTGTTGAAATCTACCTTTCTTGGAAATCAGACTCTTTGTACCTCTCTGCAAAGGTCTGGCTGCCACCACCACCTGGCTTTTTCACAATGTGCTGTGCTAGAGAACCTTTCTTTCCCCTGCAATGTGTGCGTTCTGAGACTTTTGGAGGGAGGAGTGTTCTGGGGATGGAACTTGGGGCCTCCACCATGCTAGGCGCTGCATACACAGTCTCGAAGCCTATGCTAAAGCAATGTGTGCTTCCAGAGGATACCCCTGTGCCCTCGTCACCCGACAGCAAGCACAGTGACTGAAAGCTGCTGCCGCCCCTAGCCTGCCTCTGCACTTTGGACAGGAAAAGCAGCTAAAACCAATCAATCAACCCAAAGTGTTTTGATAGCTTATAAGTAAACTCGTGGTCATAATTAAAGACCAAGAAAGCTTCAGAGAAAGATGCAAAACCCTACTCTGAAGATTTCTGGGCTTGCTTAGGAGTTCCAGGCTAGCCTGAGCTACTAGCAAGACCCCACTGAGAGAAAAAGAGCACTAGGCTTCGACACCTGAACATCCTTTCGGTTAAGTGATTAAGTGTCCTTTGAAAATTCATATACTTTGGGGACCCAGAATCAAGGATGGGATTTTACGAAGCTAAGAGGCTTCTCTTCATAGAGAGCCAGCCAAGTCAATGTCAACGGCACACATCTACCGCAATGAATCAACCGCATATCTAGCCGTGTTCCCAGGGATACGACCAAGAATCTTGACAAGAGGCAGCCAGGGCCCAGTGCTGCCTGCCATACTAAAGGTAAACAGCCCCAGCCACCAGTGTTCTCAAGGGTGGATAAAAAGGCTGCCTTGGCTCCATCTCTTCACTTCTCTGCCTCTGAGGCTAGAAATGGCAGTTAAGGAAGAAAAGATCCAAATAGCCAAGAAGGACTGAGTTTTTTGGGTACGGTAGGAACATGGCTTCCTGGTGCTGGCAGAGAAATAGAGAGGAATACCCGAGAGGAATACAGAGCCCCCCAACACTGGAGCCTCAGAGCATATTTACCCCTATGACAGGAAGAGGGGGTGAGTAGAAGCGAAAGAGTCAAAGCCAGTGCCAGAAAACTGTCTCAGGGCTCCTTCAGGTTGTCAGGGAGATAAAGATGCCGCCCACAGAGATGACAGGTATCCACTCCCACATCAGACCTTCCCTAAGATAATGTCTAGATACACCACTGTGTACACCAATCACTGGATGCATGTAGTCAGATATCTAAATATAATATCTAGTTACACCAATAGCTACATGGCCACAGATAGCTAGTCACAACACACCTAGATACGCTGATGCAGAGATAGGCAATCGTCTAAAGACCTAGATAAGAAGAGAGGAGCCCGTGGCACACATGTACAGACACAGCATGGGCAGAAGAAATTACACGCCAAGAACATGGGCCTAGATTATTATCTCATTGTTAAACACACCTAAGCTGCCTCCTTTGACGAACCCATACTAAGCCAAAAGGCAGAAAAAGAAAAAAAAATGTCCACACATGAGAATGAGAAAATTTTTCCCCCTCGCCCTAAGCTTGTAACAGCAGCACTTGGGGGCTGATGCAGGGGCACTGCTGGATCCAGGAAGGGATGGACGCATGCGCAATAGAGAAAAGTCAACAGGCTCAAAGGATGAGTCAGCTCTACAGCACTTGACTCATGCTGAAGCTTCGGGTCTGTCCCTAGTTCTACTAGGGAAGAAACCATTATTCAAAAATACACACACATCTTTAGGTGAGAAACCAGCTTCATGCTCATCACTGTGAATTTAACAATTGGAGGTAGCTAATTCCCCATAATTTTGTAACTCCATAAAGGTGGTCAAGAAATGTACACACTACCACTTATGGGGGTGGGCGTGGGGATCTTGATGCCCTGTCAGGTCAGATGGTTAACTTTCCAGGTGTCCTGTCACTCCTGATACCCCGACTTCTGGGGAAATCAGCCTTGAATTCTACTTCACTAGCCATGTTACCGTGCATACCCTAGGTACACGCCTTTCTGAGTCATAGCTCCTTCAACTACAACTAAAATAAGACGAGTCTTCGCCCTAGCTACATCACAGGGCTCACATGTCATGGACGTTCTTAGAGAGCTGGAAATTGTAGCTCAGAAAATAACCACATAGGCCATGGGGATGCCTGGAGAGCTAATAAACGCTAATGCTCCAGTCCCCACCAGATCGTAATCACAAATCTTTCCCCGCGTTTGAAAGCAGGACTTGGTTTAATTGCCGATAGCCCCGGGAGTCAGGAATCGAGAGAAACCAGCAGATCCCATTCAGGAAGCCTCTGGTTTCCTTCTACTGGGCAACACCGAAGGGGACCGACCGTGTCAAGAGATGTGAGCTTAGGATTCCTTTGGAATCTCAGAAACTTTATCCCACAGAGAGAGAGAGAGAGAGAGAGAGAGACAGACAGAGAGAGAGACAGAGAGAGAGACAGAGATAGAGACCGAGAGACAGAGAGAGACAGAAGGGGGAGGGAGGAAAGCTTCCTTGATTCCCGGGTGTTCCTGGGTAAAGTGACTTACTGCCAGAATAGCCCTAAGCAATAATTTCTGCTTCTTCCTCATTCCTCCCAGACTTTGCCAAAGGCAAAAGACACCAAGAGAAGAGAGGTGGCTTTTGGTGTGGGGGGGAGGGGTGATTTAGGATTAACTATACTACATTTAAGGATGTCTTCTGCTACTTAGTGAGTTCGAGGACAATCTAAGCAATATGAGACCTTGACTCAGAAAAATAAAAAAAAAAGTCAGGGTAAATGCAGCTAGACTCTGTTGATTGGCAATTATCGTTCTGCTAACAAGGTCCAGAAGGAGGAAGGAACCGTTTCTTTCCCCTAGTGTTCCAACCTCACTTCTCCCCTCAGCCGTTTGCAAGTGAACGCTGTTGGGACAAAGACTTTCAGAGAGATCTTCAGACGCTTCAGTTCATGCTTGTCACACAGAAGATCATCTGAAGTTCACAGCACAGAACAGCCAAGGCTTTCCCCTCATCAGTAACCACAACTGTCCTCTTTTGCTCGGAAATAGACAGCCACACTGCAGATTCATCTCTCTCCCTTTCTCCTGAAAGGAAGGTGCTGCTCCCTGGCCCCACCCCATGCAAGGGAACATGGAAACAGAACTGGCGATTTCCTGTTTTGTTTTGTTTTGACACCCAATCCCTTTATGTGGCCCTGGCTGGCCAAGAATTCAGTATGTAGCCCAGGCTGGCCTGGAACTCACAACGCTCAACCTGCAGTTGTCTCCTAAGCACTGGGATTAAAGGCAGGGCCACCTGACCCGATGATTAGAACTGATGATTTTTCTGTTTTTCAAGAAGATATTTTTTCCCCCTTAAAACCTACACAGGCCCATGATACTTATCAGGTAAAAAATATCCAAAACATACGAAGTGGGTAGTGGCAGTGTTCTTTTCCACCATTTTTGTTGTTGTTTTTGAGACAGGATCTTGCTATGTAGCCCTGGTTGGCCTAGTACTAGTTATATGTAGGCCATGGCAGCCTCTAGCTCATGGTAGTCCTCCTGCTCAGCCTTCTGAGTGTTACCAAACCTGGGTTCCTTCTCTATCTCTAAGCCCTTCTGTCTCAGCAAAGATGTGTTCAAAACTCACAGTTTTGTGGTGACACTCATCCATAATCCTAGCACTCTGGAAGAAGTGGATCAGGAGTCAAAGGCCAGCCAGCCCCCTCTACATATAGAAGGCAAAGCTAACCTTGGCTATAATAAAACAGGTGTCTCACAAACCCAAGAATTACAAATAATAAACTCAGTCCTACTGTGTTGGTTTCTGAACCAATCGCCTAGCTCCAAAGAGACTGACGGTAACCCATCGGAAATCTGGATGCTGGTGCTGTTCCCACGTCCTGTACAGGAGAGCCACCACCCCGCTGGGTCCAGTCCCACTTACATTGTGCAGCTTGTAGTAGAGCCCACAGGCATTGCAGACGGGGTCCCCGTTAGCATTCCTCCTCCAGAGGGTGGTGGTGGTGGTCTGACAGTTCGCACAGGAGGTCCCTGCTCTCCTTGCTGCTGACTGGGGGTGGGGAGAGAGGAGAGGATGAAATCAGAACAAACAGTAAATGTGTTGGTGGAGCTACAGAGACAAGCGTGGAGGTAAAAAAAAAAAAAGATACTGAAATCAAAACTAGCAAGTGGGCCACATGAAAGCCATAAAGATCCGAGATCATCCTCGAGAAGAAAAATGCAGCCAATCCAGTGTTTAGGAGTTGGCGGGACCTCAGTAGGCAACCTGCGTGCAGAACTGGAGAGAAGCAGGATGCCATGCCACCTACTTGGGAACATCCCCCCCTCCCTCCATCCCCATGAAGTATACGCCACAGAGTTCATTTTTAAGGTGGCAATTTCTAATAAGCCTGGCTAATTTTGGTCCCAAGATCTTAGTCATTCCCAGTTATCTTTCCCAGGCCCACAAGAGTTCTTTTTCAGAAAGGATCCACCAAAACTATTGATCTGTACATCAGCTGTTGGCTTTCTGCGCACATGAACAGCAAAATAAAAGGAAACCTGAGCTAAGAAACCCCTTGCTAGACGTCCCAAATCAGGAAAGGTTGAACTAGTTGGGCATAGTAGTGGATGTTTAGAAATATAGACATGAGCTTGGGGCAGGAGGATTACTGGGGACAGACATCAGGAGAAGGGAGAGAATGGGAATGAGATATACTAATACAGAGGTACAAAGATAGCCTGGTGAAACTCGATACTTTGTATGTTAAGCTAAAGACTGAATTTATTATATATAGACTGATAACTACAGATATTTTAAAGACTACAAAATACAAAAGACTCAGGCTACCATAATTTAGGAAGAGGACATCTTGAGTTAAGACCCTGCCCAGTCACCCTGCAGCCTTTCACACGCCCGACACTATCAGACGTGGCCCGTCACTTGGCACTCCCAGGACAGCCATACTCGATATCTTTAGGTAGGCAGTCATCATGCAATCAGGCAATCCAAAAAAGAAAGAAAAGATACTCTGACTATTTAGTAGGGATCCTGGACACCACCTGCCCCCTTGGCTCAAGTCTCACACCTCCTGTGTGAAGTTCAGCATTTCCTATTTGCTGTTCTCTAAAGTAGCGTGCAAGCATCATAGGCCAAATGTCGGCCTCATCATGAATTTTAATTCCCTGGTTCTGTAAGCTTGAAGGCTCACTCACAACTGTAATTCCTGCACTTGAAAACTTGCAAGATTGCCACCAACTTGAGGCCAGCCTGGGCTACATACACAAGGCGTTTCAGGACAGTGTGGGCTAAAGAGGCGAATCTTGTCTCAAAAATTAAATTTAAATGTCCTTAGTTCTGCTTTCATTTTCTTTAACAGGGAGAGATTTCTTTTACCGTTTGTGTATTTGAACTTATTGGGCAGCTTTTCTATGCACATATTTTTTAATGAAAAATTAAAGTCAAAACTTTTGAAAGAAAATGGAACTTTGAGCCATCAAGAAGGCTCCCAGGAAAAGACACTTACAACCAAGACTGACCAGATCCCAAGAACCCACGTGGTGGAAGGAAAAAAACCAAGTTGCACTTTGATCTACACACACACACATAAACACACACACATATACATACACAAAATCAAAAGAAAATGGAGCTGTCACTTCTAAAATATTCTTTCTGATTTTGAATAGAAAAAGTTAACTCAAAAATGAGTCTGGATCCTGAGCTCAAAATTAATAGTGAAAATCAGAAGATAAAGAATCATCTGGTATAGAAGCTGGAGATTCAGCTCAGTGAGTTTAACAAAGCAAAGGCCCAGGCTGGATCCTTAGCCCTCCCCCCACAAAAATATAAAAAGAAAGAAAGAAAAGCAGGAAAGGAGGAAGCAGGGGGGAAGGGAGGGACGGGAAAGAAAAAAGGGAGGAAAGAAGGAAGAAGAAAGAAAAATGGATTCTGGCACGATTTTAAGAACACGAAATAAAACCTGTGCGCCCCTGGCTTTCTCTCTAGCAATACTGCAGCAAGCCCAAAGAGGCAGCAAATACTCAGAGGTGCACTGGGAAACCCAGCAGACAGATCCCTTCCTTCTAAAGTCCTTAGGCTGTCCCACAGATCTGCTCCCATGGCCTTAAAGAGGGAGCGCAGACTTTTTTCTTGTCTTCTTTTTCCTTTTATTTATTTATTTATTGTGGTGATTCTCTTAGGGATGGTAAGGAAGTGAAATTAAGAACGGCCCTTGTCTAGCACCGTGCAGAAGGTGCTGCTTTCGCGCTGCCCATTCCGAAATGAAATCACCAAGGCCCAAGAGCGTTGGTGCCGATTCTGGAGCCTTTGGCCACCTGCCTTTGGGAAATGTGATCATTTAATACTTAAATAACGATTTCCCCTCAAGTGCTCTCTGGAAGAAAGTCTTACTGAAAACCAGCGCCTAATGATTTGTGACAATTATGTTACATGTGATTACTGTCACCGTCCTATGGTATTTCAGGAGAAATATTCAGAGCAAGACCAACAGCATCCACTCAGGCGACCAGCTTTCCCAGTTCAATAATTTTGAATGTATAATGTAAATACATAGGCCAATTAATACAATGAGCGCTCTAACGAAAGAATTCAATACATATATAAATAATACTTTGCAGGAGATTGTAAAGATCATAAATACACATGTGTGCCAGATAGGTTTCTGGTAAGACAGAGAGCTTATGCAAACTTACAGAATTGCCCAGAACAACACTGCTGGGCTCCATGGCCCGGACATCAATAAGTCTTTCAATAAGGCAAGCAGCTCAACCCGTTCTAGTTGTAAGACATAAGAGAATTCTGGAATACTAGTAGGAAGGAAAGCCATCGGTCCTAACTGCTACGTTTTGCTTGTGTCTCACAGAGAAGCTAGAGATACGATGGGCTAGGTAGTCATCAGTGTGTCTGCAAACACGCGAAACAAAACCAGCAAGCTAGAAAGGCCGAGCCGATGTGATAGTCAGGAAGCATGAGATAGAAGAAAATATGGCTCTAGCGTCCTCAGCAGACACAAACCTAGGTGTCTACACCCCAGCATAAAAGTAAGAGAAGGAAAAAAAAGAAAGCAGAAGGTTCTAGGTGTTTAGGCATAGACTGTACCTAAACGGGGAGGGCGGATAGCTAGTGCGGTGGCTCAGAGGGTCAAGGGGCTTGCCAGCAAGTCTGCTGACCCGAATTCACTCCCCAGAACTCAGTGGGTGGAGAGCCCTGACTCTTCCTGCGAGCTATCTGCTAACTTCGACGACGTGTACACAGCAGCACACAGCACACACACAAACGTGAACTGAGGAAAGAGGAAGAGGAATTTTTCCGTATCTCCACACAGCACAGGAATTGTAATGGGATTGAAAATATCAATACCCCCTCTGGGTGGGATGATTAACACGGATAGCTTAAACTGTGACAGCCCATGCACTCTAGAATTAAAATCAATTATTACTCAGAGGTTCAAGACTTCCTATGTAAGGTGAGTGAAAGCAGATCTATAGAAAATACAGAGTCCTCCCCTGTGTTCTCTGTACAGAGAGGAGAAAATGCCAGATAAATTCTCATTCAACCATCAGAAAACTATGAGACTTTTCAGATCTTTATAATTTCTTTGTCCTTACTTTAAAACTAAAAACTGGATATATTGCAACAAAAAGTTTTGTTGTTGGGTTTGTGTTTTTTCTTTTTCTTTTTTTTTCACCAAGGCTGGGTTCTGAATGATTCACGACATTCTTTTGTGGTGTGATCACACTCATTCTGAGCTAACACCTCTAGCCATTTCTTTCTTTCTTTCTTTCTTTTCTTTTCTTTTTTATGCTTCTTGTTCTGATCCGTCTAAACATCTTGATGTTTAAGTTGGAGAAGCTGAGTTGCTATGAGTTATCTCTAGCACCCAGATATCCGGCAGCGTTTTCCTAGGAAGTTAGCTTTGCACAGGGAAAAGAAAAAAAAAAAAACAAGAAAAACTTAAACTGCATGGGGAGAGGGTGGAGAGATAGAGAAAAGGGCAAAGATCAGATAGAATGAAGCTTAGAGATCTAAGATTGAAAAAAAAAATTAAAGTCATGTGGACACTTCCACCCCTAGAAAGTGTTCCTTTTTCTAAAGAAGATGTAAAAAGTGCTAAACTGACTGCTGTCTCTACACTGCTGTCTAGCAGGAAAGACAGTGCTGTAAGAAAGGAGAAGTGGGGGTCCCTTCTGCTTGGTTTTTGCTCCCCCCCCCCTCCTTAGAATCTGCAAGGAGAAATTCTTCCCCTTCACTTGGTGAACTTCGGCATTTTGATATCGCCTATGCGTAGTTGGCCCCATGACTACTCTTATTGTCTTATATACAATCACTGCTCAACCCGGCCCAAGGCTTCAGAGTCAAGTTTACAAACAAACAGCTCCTGTTTGCTTCCTTTATAAATGCTCAATAGTTCGAGGTTTTCTCAAGTATTCCTAATACCAAAAAGCTCAAAAAATAGAAGCAAGTGTGTGTGTGGTAGGAGCTGGAAAGTATCGCCCTGTGGATAATTTGTACGAAATAAATAAATAAATAAAACCGAAGGTTAGATGAGACCACGAGTCAAGACAGGAACCACAAAACTCCCCTGAAGGAATCACCTTTCCTAAGTCCTCAAAGTCTCAGATCCAGAAGCAGAAAAAATACCAAGGGCTGAGTCTGAAAGTGGCTTACTTCAGACATCCATCCCATTGCCAGGTCACCTTCAAACTCTACACATGACTGAGGCTGGCCCTGAACTCCTGATCTTGTGGGTACACCTCCGAAATTCTGGGCTTACAGAAGTGCACTACCATACCACTATGTCATGAAGTACTGACACCAGAGGGTCAGTCCCACTTCTGCATCTGACACTGCCTCCCTGGAACCTTTTCCTGCTCCCAGGGTAGGTTCTACATGGTGCCTGGGATATTCCATTCCCACGTTAAATTTCTGTCCATGACACAATTGGCACAGTCGTCCTGCCATTACTAAGCTTAGTTACTCTATTGGGAAATAAGTTTCAGGTGTGACAGCAATAAGTTAGTAGCCTTAAAATTTAAGAAGTGAAACATGAAAGACAGTACAGAGGTTTTTCTGTATCTAATTTGAAAAAAAATCGGAGGAAAAGGGGAATGGGGGGAGAAAAAAAGAAGAAAGAGGAGAAAAAGAGAGGAGGGAAAACTGTCCTAAGCACGCTGATGTGGTTCTGAACTGTCCTGCCAATTCCCGCAGAAAGCCATCCTTCCCAGAGACAATTTGGAAAACACCAAACAGTGACATGAGTTCAGTCCTTCCAAGAACTCACCAGCCTTCGCTTGGGCTTGATAAGGGGCCGGTTCTGTCCGTTCATCTTATGGTACAGTCCGCAGGCATTGCAAAGGTAGTGCCCAGTTCCATCTCGCCGCCACAGTGGGGTGGAGGTTGCCCCGCAGTTCACACACTCCCTGCCTTCTGAAAACAAGATAAGAGATAAGCCACTTATGGAAGGGAAGCATACAAACAGGAGATAACATTTAGAATTATGAGGGAGGGTCTGTGAGATTCCTCCGCGAGAAAAGGCACATGCCACCGAGCCTGAGGACCTCAGTACCATCCCTGAGACCCCACATGGTGTAAGGAGAGAACTAACCCCCAGAAGTTGTTATCCATCCTCCACATATACCCTGACACACACACATGCGCATACACACACATCACACTGAAATTAGAAGGGAAAATAAAACAAAAACATTATTTGCAAACTCATCTGGGCAGGGAAATAGTTCATCCCAGCTCCAAAGTGCTCCGAAGTTCTGACTCTGTGTGACAGAACCCTTACTGTTACAGATAGACTTCAGGTGAGTAGAATAACAGACCCTTGACTTTGACATCTCCCACTTGGTGAGGAAGATAGAGCCAAAAGGAAGGAGGGAGACCTTCAAACATTTCCCTAAGAGCACGCTGAGTGCGGAACACTCGGGCCACAAACAAAAGACTTCTTTCATTTTCCTCAGAAAAAAAAGTCAATGAAGCAAGGAATGGGGACCCAGTTGGTCCCCGGGCTGTCTGTATAGATTGACTCAATAATGAAGATTAGGATAGGGAGAAAGGAAAGATTAATCAATAGATAAACAGATAATAGATGGATTATAGATTGATCAACTGGATGATGATTGAGTAGCTAGAACTTCACATTTTTTTACTTCCAATAAAACTGTAAGTGCCCCTAGTTGCAAAGTCATCAATTAAGGCCCAGCAGGACTGACTCAACCTCTAATTCTCAGAGCCTTTCCTTCAGAAAATACCACCTTTGCTGGAGCTTTCCAGCTGCTAGGAGAAGAACCAGAGTTAGACTCTGGCCCCAGCCTGGCCAGCCAAGGGCTGATGGAAGGAAACACAGTACAAGCCTTCAGGCAGATGATCTCAAGGGGGAAAAGCCAAGAGAAGAAAGGGCCGCAAGGATAGATTGAAGGTCAGACAAAGACTGGGAGAAGAGGAGGGGAGGATGTTCCCCACTCAGTAACTGAGGCCCGACTGGAGTTTCTCTCTCTTTTTTCCAAAACCACAAATAAACAAACAGAAAAACCAGCTTAGCCAGGTTTGTTCACTCCCAGAACCAGCGCTGAATCAGAACAGGGACCTACTTCCAGAAAGTTCCTCAGTAGAAACTGGACAGAGAGACTTCTTTGCAACTTCTGAAAGTGGGAAAGATCCCTTCTAGAAGAACCTCTTCCATTTTGGGGAGTATGGAGTAACACAGTAGCATTGTTGGTTCCTCTGGCCAAGGAGAAAGTGGCCAGCCCAATCCCCTGCTGTAAGAGGCAGCTCAGCGGGGCCACCACATAGGTGGGTCAAGGGAATGAGAGGGAGACTCTCAGGGTGGATGGGGCAGTGAAGAACAGCCCTAAATTTCTTTGAGGGGCTGAAAGTATAACTCCAGAGTAGAGCATTTGCCCAGCATGTATAAGACACCAGGCTTGACCCTCAGCACTTAAAAGCGGGATCCCTTTGTCTTGAGGGATTAATCAATGACAAATGAATTAAAGGAAGAAACTCCAGAGGAGCGATTGGGAATTCTGACTTCCCAGGAAAGGAACAAAGTCTACCTTGGTAGACAAAAGACCTAATGATTTTTTAGAAAGCCCCAGGTCAAAACCAAAGGAAAAGGGGGGTGTTTACACCTGTGGACTTGCCACCTTCTCCAGGGACAAATTCTTTCAAGTTATCATCACCACAATGTAACTCCAACCCTCCCTAACAGTGGTCAGAAAACCATGAGAGACATCACGTTTTCCATTACTAAGGGTGCCGTGTGTAAACCTGCTTTTTCAAAACTGATTTGAACAGAATTTTTTTTTTTTACCATCCAGATTACAAAAAAGGCTTTTAGCATGGGGTCCGCAGAGAACTCTCCCCTGGTGTCTAGAGTCTCTGGGACTAGATATAAAATTTGCTTATACATACAGCCAAAGATACTTTCATAGGATCTCAGTTAACTTTTCTTGATTCTCCTCAAAGGTTCTAGAGGGTACTCAGACAATTTTCATGTAGGGCCAAATTCCGATGGCATATGGCCAATGGCTGTGAAGAAGCTGAAGGGATGAGCGGGCGGGCAAAGGGATACCAGCTGTAGAGCCATGGCCAGGAGGCCTTGCTGTTTTGGCTTCCCAAGTGTCTATTGCTTCCACAGCCCAAATGCTGTGAGTGAGTATGGGCCACAGCCCAGCCAAGGCCTGCTTTTTATCCTGTCTGCACAGGGGTCACTTAGGTCCCCTTCCCTGTATAAGCACTGGGCAGAAAGACGGAAGCTTGCTGCTGACATGTCCCTTGAACCAGGCACAGCAGAAGGGTAGCAAGCAAGCCGCCCTGAGCAGGGCGAAGGCCTAGGCACCCTGACACTAAGGGGATCTCCCAGCCTGTGGCCAGGCTGATTTCCTTTTCTTTGTCAGGTAGGAGGGAGGAAGAGAGCTTCCTTTCAGAGGGCCCTTGAAAGCAGAGTGACTAGTTGGTTGCTCTCAGGCAGAGCCCTGCACACTAGAGCAATTTTCTGTCTTGATTCACTCCACAAATTTTCGACTGCCTCGCGTGGGCTTTACTCTTCTCATTTCTCCCTGCCTCTACTGTGACTTCAGCACACAGCCAATTTTCCTAATGGAGGGCTTGACTCCTGCCTTCTGTCTTCCTCTTGCCTCTCCCCCTGTCTGCTGTGAGCTGCCAGGCAGACACCTCTCTAAGGTGACAAGAACCACAGAGCTGTGAGGCCTCTTGACATTCAACAGCCATTTTCAAATGCCCCTTGGGCTTTCAGACTGAAACCCTGAAATTGGGCTGCGTAGGAGCAGAGGGCCGGTAAGCTATTTTTCTCAGGAAAGTGGAAGGAGGTACCCATATCCAAAAAGTGATCAGGGAAACTGAGAAAAATGACCCTTTAGGGAAAAATAAAAGCAACAACAACATCTTTGTCTTTTGTTCAGAAAGATAGATACCAGACCGAAAGCAAAGACATCAAGAAAGCAATGCAGGCCCAGACCACAACCTCAAACGTTTCTCCAAAGGACAGCAATAACCCTGACCTGCATCTCTTTTCTGTCTCATCCAATAAATGCATCTGCAAAGAGGAAAGAGAAAGGAATTGGGGGAAGAGGGAGGACAGAAGAGCAGGGAAGGGAAAGGAAATAAGAGAGCACCCTCTACAAGAATTCCCACTAGTCCTCTGTCTGCATACTGAGCACTTCTAGAAACTTCCCTCTATACTCCCCAAAAGTCCCAGGTCTTTTGCGGGCCAGGTATGCCACTCTTGGTTTTTATGACTGTGAGAAAGGAGTGAGAAGGAGGAAGTGCAAAGCCAAATTTCACCCCTTCACCTAAACAAACAAACAAACAAACAACAAACAACTGGGAACAAGACTTAGAGAAAACCTAGTACTGGTCCTGCTTCTTCCACCCCCACCCCACCCTCCAGCTTAAGGAAAGAGATGAGAGAAGGAAACAGATCAAACCAAGAACAAAAAGTGTGCAAACCTAAGGGGATGAAGAAGAAGCCTGGAAATGAGGGCACAGAAATGAGAGTCTTTTGGAAAGTCAGAGTCCCCTCCCCCCACAGCCACCACACGGGCCTCAGAGCCCAGGCACTTCCCTGACCTCAGAGCCCCACCAGTACAGAGAATTTTTGTTTTGCTTTGTTTTTAAACCCCATTGCAACCTCAAAACACACGGGTGTCGGTCCTTGATTTCAGCCCTCCAGTAGCACATTAGGAGGCAACCAGTCCTCTCGCCTCTCTCTCTAGTCCGGAACCTTCACTCCCCACCAGCCCAGCTCTTGTCCCGGCACCTTGGCAGATCACATTGCCCCTCAGCTCTCTCTTCCTCTAGCTTTCTTTTTGACTCTACCAACGAGCTTACCTCCCTTCTCCCTCCTGCCTACTTTCATGTACTGAGCATGCAGGTCTGAGTTTTTCTGTCAGCCTAACCGCATCCGGACTCTATTAAAGTTCCTGGCCCAGGATAAACAATGCAACTGTCGCGTGCAGCCGTCTGAAAATAATTGGATTAGCTAAAACATATCAACTAAATAGAGACAGTCCTACTCAGGCAGTCAGAGTGAATGTCACCCTGAGAAAAAAAAAAGAAAAAGAAAAAGGAAGGAAGAAAGAGAGAGAAGCAAACCCTGAAAACTGATCTCCTGGTCACTAGGCTCCAGGCACCATGCCTCTGAAGTCTTCCAAACCCAAGCACGGTTGGAAGACCGCTCATCCAGCCTGCCCTTCATAGGCAACTTTTTGACCATAGTTTTTTTTTTCTTCCTTAATGCAATCTGTGTAGCTGGAGTGGCCCACTCTGAAATGAGCACACCTTTGGAGACACAACAGTCTTCACAAAATTCCTTCTGAAAACACCGGTCACACTACACACTCTGGTGACTAAAATGCTTTGTGTACCCACACACTGAGAATGAATTTGTCTTACTTCTAAAGCAAAGGAAAAACCCTGCCTGAGCATGCGTCCCTGCAATGGCTTCAATAGAAAAAAAAAATCTCTCCGCTTGCTGGAAAACACAGTTGGCTTTTGAGGGGCAGGGGAGGTGCAGAGGAAGCAGAAGCGCGCACCTGCAAAATCTTTTTCAGCCTTTCTATCTATCACACCTGGCTTCCAATCAACTCCAGGAATTGGAGGTCCGAAGTGGGGCTCTGGCCCCTGTTCGGACTGAGTGCTCCAAAAGACACTGTGGGGAACCGACTGGGAAAAGGGGTGCTTGATGGTCCTTTCGCTCTGCAGCCCTCAGAAGTTCAGCTAAGAGGAGTCCCTTTTTCATGGGAAGCCTGCTGGTTTTACCAAGTGTCTGCCTCCTTCCCGAATGACACAGACACACGCTTTATTTATATGTATCTCTATAAAGGACAGTCCTTGGCTATAGCCCCAGTGACCCTCTCCGAGGGGAGGGAAGAGGAGCAGTCTGACAGACAGAGGCCAAAGGGGTCATAGAAGGGACCTGTGTTTGTTTAGGTTGGAGAAGGTTTCGTTTTAGCTTTTAAACACTACAGATTTATTCCTGGGGCCTTCCATTTGGTCTCTAAAGGCTAGCTGTAGAATCCAGAAGTCCCTCAGCAGGCAGGAGGAAGGGGCATCCATTTGTTTGTGTTAATCTTTTTCCTTTCCCAGCTCACTTGGATGGGGGGGGTGGAGGGGGGGTTACAAGCAGAACACACTTCCCCTCTGCAGCCTAAATCAGCAGGAGTTAAGACACCACATTCTTCCCAGGCTGGAAGAATGGAAGGTCTCTGAAGTGCTGGGCGATACCTGTAGGCCTTCCAGAGACTTCCCCAACACCCCCCACTTTTTTTTAAGGGAAGAAAGACCCCTTTTTGCCTTGACCTGGATGTAGAGGAAGTAGGAGGGAGCAAAAGAAAAATTCCCAAGGGTGGAGGCACTTACCTGTGCTGGATCGCGCCTTGGGCCTCGACTTACACCCGAACCCTGTTGGGGATCCTCCCAGCAGGCTGCTGGGTGGGAAGAGTCCGGAGCTGTACTCGGGCACGTAGGGCGGATAGGTGGTGATGGGATGGTGGGCTGAGGACGAGGCCCCTCCCAGGGTGGTCATACTGCCTCGGGAGTGGGACGTCTCCAGCTTCATGCTATCCGGCAGCGGCACCTGATACTTGAGGCACTCTTTCTCATCTTGCCTGGTGGAGCCCGCTGATCCTGGGGTGGACAGCGACGGGTCTGGGGAGACGTCCTTCGGAGGGGTGGGCGGGAAGGTGAAGAGATGCGGACTGGAGTGGCCTGCGGCCAGAGAAGAGGATGAAGCCGGAGGGTAGACGGACAGCGGCCCCGGGGAGCCGTGGTGGATGGACGTCTTGGAGAAGGGACTGAGGTTCCAGGGCGAGGCAGTGTGGTGGCTGCTCAGGGCTTTGCCGCCATCCAGCCAGGGCAGGGATCCGTGCAGCAGAGGTGGGCGGCATACCTGGCTCCCTGCGACGCCAGCGATAACAGGGAAAGAGAAGAACAGAGAAGAGGACCTCATTGAAAGCTGCTCGCAAACACACCTGGAGGTTCTATTCCTGGCGCCCCCAACCTCCCAGTCAGCAAATCTCCAGGCCCAACAGAGCAAGAGAGCTCAAACCTACTCTAATTTCGGTGGTTCCAGGAGTACCGGGCCCATGCGCCCCGAGGTGGAAACAGACCCTGTCCACACCCATCAAATCTAAAACGAAAGGCCTGCTCCTAAAATACTCCAGAGGAGTTGCAGGGACGCGAAGAAAGGTTCCATGGCTTATTTGTCCTGTCCAAATTCGCAGTCTAAACCAGATTTCCTGGGGTCTCTTTCTAGAACCTGCCTTGATTTATTGGTTTCTTTCAATGGCCCTGATGCTCCCACCGCAGACTTAATCCCAGCCAGGCTGATAAGAGAGTCAGCATGAGTGATGAGGCCTGAAGGATGAAGTGGGGCCACACCACTCCACAACCCTAGGGAGAGGCCCAGCTCCCAACACCCAAAGCAAGGAAGGCAGGCTGCATTTGAGAGTTAATTTAGAAAAGTTCAATGCTTGCTTAGAACTGGCAAAGCTGCTTCCAAAAGGCCTGAAATGGAAAATTGTCCAAAACCGTGAAGGATCTTCCTTCCTAATTTTCCTTCGCCCTTCCAAATCTTATAGGAAAAGAAGAGAAAACAAGTCCCCCTCCCTGGCCCTTGAGACTTTTCTAGTCACCAGGGCAGTAGGTGAATTTTCACCTGAGACACAAAATTCCAGTTTATGTGTGTCTTTTAAGCCAAGGATGACTCATCTACAGAAGTTTAGCTTTCACTTAAAATACCCCATTTTAAGGCGTTCCTCTGTTATCCATCCAGGTCCATACTCTCTGCTAGGGGAAACTTTAAATTGCAAGTGCAAATCTACACTCTTATTGATCTTTTTGTCCTGTATGCCTGCCTCACCATTTGACAGTCTTGTCAACCATTAAGAGCAATACTGAAACTAAAATCTTTAACTAGAGGAAGGGGAGGGGAGTCAAAAGAGCTGGAGAATTCTCTTGAGCACCAAGGGTTAAGGTTTTTTTTTTTTTGATGCAGGAAGTAGTATAGTAAATAACGTTAGGTCTGATCTACCTCATTTCCACTCAACTGCTAATCTGCACACAACCAGAGCAAAGAGCGCCGCATCCGCAGAAATGACTGTTTAAGACCTGGAGGCTGTGAGGCAGAGGACGCCTGCTGCCAGAGGGGCTGTGAAAACGGCGCCAAGGCTAGCTCTGAGCAGGGAGACCTGAGCAGGCGCAGCTGACTGAGAAAGCCACACATTTTCCTCCCTTCCAAGGTGTTGCTCCTCTGAGCACAATCTCACAGCTGAGAAGTGTTAAGGGTCCCCTGTCCCAATCACATCAGGCTGGGTTTCTTCCTTTCTTTTTCTTTTTCTTTTTTAAACACCTCCCCTCAACTTCTCAAGGTAAGTGGTTTGAGGGAGGCAACTGGAAACTCTCCTACTTAAAAAGAAACTTTGGTGTATCCTAAATATCTCTGAGGAGTCCATAGGAACTACTGTAGGCCAGAGGAGAAAATAAGGCCAGGGTTGCTGGCAATTAAGCATCTAAAGCAAAAACGTAGGAAAATTCTGTGTAGCCGGGAGTCTAAGCAAACCTGACTTCTCTTCGACTTAAAGCTTCTACCTCTTTTCTACCGTGTCAACCACCAGATTCTCTTCCTCAAGCCACCAGGAAACCTGCGTAAAACTCAAATGCACTAGTTTTAGGGAAAAGGCAAAGAAAGTAGAAATAAATACATGTGTTTGGGCTTTTCTGAAAATATAAAAATTAAATTGTTTTCAAATTGCAAGGCTCTAGCGAAAGACCCCTTCCACTAGGTAGCTAGAAACTGGAAGCCCTTCAGAGGAGCCCGGTTCCAGGCCCGCTTGGCCAGCGCTGCTGCTTGGCCTGAAAGGCTCGGCGCGCGCGGCGGGCGCGAGCAGGCACAGCTTGAGATGTCCCCTGCTGCAAAATCTACAACCAACAGCCTGAGGATCAGGGCTGAGTCTAGGGCCTGCCAGGTGAGTGCCTGGCCCAAAGGACACCGCAAAGAGAGGCGCCTGAGCACACTTTAAAAAACACTCTCCCAAAGAGCAACACTGCTTCCTCGCCCATTTCCGGGCCCCAATTTTTTTTTTTTTTAAAATGAACTAGTGACACACTTAAGGGCTTTTGCTTGCTCTGCCCAGCCTGAGTCTCTGGCTGTCTCCCGGACCCAGGAAAACAGGAGCGGATAGAGAGGATTCCTGCACCCAGGTGAACTCACCGTGGTGGGTCGGAGGATACCTCTGCACGGTAGCCCTGACCGAGTTTCCGTAGTAGGACGGGACGTGGTTGCCTTGACCATCGATGTTAAAAAGTACGTCCACCTCTTCCGTCAGGGGGTACTGAGCCGGGTCCATGTACGAGTGGCCGAGGCCAGGGTGGTGCGTGTCCGGGTGCTGCCCGTTGAGGACCGCAGGGTGGTGGTGGCTCACCCAGCGCGGCTGGTCCGCAGTCACCTCCATGTCCTCGGCTGTGCTCGCGCCCTCTCGCCGGGCCCGGAACCCTCGCGGATAGAGGGAGGGCTGTCGGCCTGGGAGGTCCGCGGACTCCTGCCGTCGGAAGCCCAGTAGAGGGGTCGTTTAATGGTTTGCTTGTAGTGAAGTGGGTAGGAAAGGTGAGCAAAAAAAAAAGAGGATTTAGGGGGGAAAGAAAAATCTTTGTAGGATAGTTTGACCAAAAAAAAAAAAAAGGAAAAAGAAAAAGAAAATGTAAGAGAGGGAGGAAAGAAGAGGGAGCCCCCCTCCTTTAAAAAAATAAAAGCGGCGGAATAAAGAGGCCAAATGAAAAAAATAAAAATAAAAAAGGGATGAGGAAAAAAGGACGCTCCAATCCAAGTGTGGCCACACAGCACACTGGTTTCTCGGCTCTCAGAGACGGTTGCTCCTCCAGTCACCTGCAAAAGAGAGAAGAGTAGAGCTGGATGAGCTCTAAGTACTTTAAACACCTGAAATTCTGCAGGGCGCTAGGTCTCCTGGAGCTTCCCGCAGGGCCGGCTCACCCAGGACGTGCACACGCACGCGAAGACCCGGCGGGAGAGGAAGCCAAGCTCCCCAGCACATCTCGCAGGAGCCCGGGACTGACTAAGCAATTAAAACTTAGGGACAAGTCCTCCCTGGAGGACACCGGCCCCCGGATCTTTCCTACAACTACAAATCCTCCAAAGGAAGAAAGCTGAGCTTTAAGTTTAGAGGGGGAAAAAGTCCCTCCACTTAGAGGGAGGGGGATTAAAAAAAAGTCACAATACCGACCTGAGTGGCAAGGAGCTGAGAGGAGGAGGAGGCGTGTGACCTGCCCGGTCAGATTGCGTAGCTCTCTATGTCTCGCTCTCTCAGTCTCCCTCTCTCTCTCTCTTTCTCTCTCTTTCTCTTCCTCTCCCTCTCTCGGAATTTTTTTTTTTTTTACAGGGAATGCATTCTTTCTGAAAGTATCAAGACGGCGCCAGGCAGCTCAGTGTTCGCAGACAGCTGTGGCGCGACGCAACTTAAGGAGGTTCTAGTGTCATCCGCGCCGAGGGGGAGGAGCCTGGCTCTGGCAGGAGGGGACACGATCCCTAGCACAAGGAAACTGCAACCCAAACCCGCTCCAGGACTTCACCTCCACCCCATCCCCCCCACCCCCGCACACCGCCGCCCCTCCTCCCGCCCCTCCACTGACCGGAAAGGGGCGCCGCCAGGAGCCGCCTAGGGCAGAGGGGCCGCGGGCAGGGTGGGCGAGGCCGGCCGGGGCTTGGGGCGGAGGGGACGGCAAGTGGGAATTCGCGCTCTGGCCCTTTAAATGTAGCAGAGCCGATTCATTCGGGCTCAGTAGATTATTCCGAACCAGTGAAACCCGGCCGCCCCATTCATAAAGCTAATTTCCATAAGCAGATTTTTCTTTTCCACACTTCTTTAAAATGAGCAAACTTTGAAACTGGGATTCAAGCCACAGTATTTTTCAGATCATATCAACTTGGAGGCTATGTGCATGTAAAACCGATCAGTAAAGTTTCATGTCAAAATAAATGAAGATTTGCTTCCCGAACCAGTTTCCCTAGGGGCTGATGAATCGCGCAGAGGACCTGGGCTTTGATTCGGTCGCCCGCATTGTTTTTGTTAAGGTCTCCGCTTACTTTCACAAACCTCTTCAGTGTGAACAGCGTCAGCTGTTGCAGCTGTCTTTTTCAGATCTAATGATATAATCGATGTGTGCTTCTGACTTGAGTGACAACATGATGCATGGAAAGCCGGGTGGGCGAGACCCAGGCTCACTGGTCCCCGAAGTACGGTGTTTGACTTGATCTTTTACTCGGGTGGCCTAACTTTTCCCTACATTCAGCTCGGGGCCCTACTCACTCTGCCTTCCACCCGAGAAACACGGTCCCCTCCACAGACCCTAACCCTGACCTCTGAGGTGAGCCCCAGCAGCAACCAGCCTGGACTCGGTAGTCTCAGGGCCAGGGTCTGTTGGGTGGGCAGCCTGCTGACGCTGGGAGAGCAGCCGCAAGACGCCCCCGTGAGGGGCGGGGCTAGACGAGGGCGGGACCATTGTAAAGGCCAATCATTGGACAAGACCAAGACCGGGTTGCAGTCGCCCCGCCCCACGGGTTTCAACCTCTGCGGCCCTGTGCGGTCTTTTGAGTCACTGCATCCCCTAGTGGCGTAAAGGTTTCTGCAGCCTGGGTCCGGAAAATAGCCCGAACGAGGCAAGGTCGGGCGGGAAAATACTTTGGGTGCACCCCAAGGCAGTGTACAAGAAGGTGATTCTATTCCAGGGCAGAGAGCTGCACTTGTAGGGTTACTGGAATTGACTTCTTAAAATGTCCCACTAATACAAAACTTCGATTCCCTTCCTAAAAATCTCTAAACAACTTCTGTCCTACAGTGGATAAGAAGCATCAATGTCTGCCTTGTAGCCGGTATGGGGGGGGGGGGGGTGCGTTCTTTTAACAGCACATCCCTTGAAGAAGACAAGTAAAATTTATTTGCAAATGTGCCCTGCGGACTTGGGTTTGGTGTTTCTCTTGACTCCTCATCTTTTTTACATTTGATCTTTATTCGAAATCCAGGCTGAATTTCTAAATACAAAACATGAATTTACCTATTTTTTTTTTAAATAAATCTCTCTCCTGAGTTTATCCTAAACCCCTTGGTCTCGCGTTTCTGAGGCGACCCAGTCTCCGAAAATCGATTTTTACTTTCGCTCTTTGACCAACTCATCTCTCCTGGGCCAATCAAGCTGCCAGCATCTCATCAGCTCACGGCGCTCTGAAAACCTTTTAATTATTTAGTTGCTGTCTAACATTCGCCGGAAACCACTCCATAAACAAGCAGAGAGGACCGCACACACATTTTTGCTAAGAGACCCGGGATTAAGATTAAGGATGGGAGTTAAATTTAAAAAAAAAAAGTGGTGTTCCTGTGTCGCTGATGAATCATGTAGGATACCAGCTTGACCTTAGTTCACAGTTTCGAGGGAAAAAAACAAAACAACATCAACAACAAAAAGCAACTAAGTATTAACTCTTTGGTCCTGGTCATCGAAATCTATAAATAAAAAAAAAAAGCAAAAGAAATCCTAAACAAAGCTGCTGACGCCAAGACTTGAACGTGTTAATTTATACGGCTTAGAACTTACTTTAAAAGACTGAAAAAGAAAATGTTTCTGAAAAGGAAGGCTTCCCTATTAGGGGCTCCTCTCTAATAAATTTGGTAGTGGGAATGCAGAGGATTATTCGTTTTAATTTAATCACCAGAGGAGCTACGCAGGGATGCAGAGGGCACTCCCCTGCCTTGGAAAAATAAAACATCTAGAAGGCCCCTCCAGGTCTGAGGTAGTTTAGGGCTGGCAGAGGAGGGTAGGGGGCCTGAAGCTGGATGCCCAGGGTAATGGAGCCAGCCTGTAGGGGGTATTTAACTTGTAATTCCCAGCCGGTCCGCCCCTGTTCCCGGACTGACAGTGGGTAATTGGGAAAGAGGACGTTGCTCTTTTGATGGCCCGCGCCGGCCAGTCTCGCCGACGCCACACTGGGTTTGACGTCACGGGCCCAGCCCCAGAGTCAGAAACACAGAGCCCGGGGGGGGGGGGGGGGGGGCGGGGGGGAGTGGAGAGGAGAGGGCTACCGGGGAGGGAGGGCCGAGGTCGGCTCCGGGACCCACCGGGAAGAAGGGGGAAGGGATCGAGTCCGGAGAGGGAGGCTGCGATGCGTGGCCTGAGGCAGAGAGCCGGACTCCGGGGGTCTGGGCCAGGCCAGGCGCCGGTCTGACCCGCTTCGCTCGCGAATGCAGGCCGGGCTTCCTCCTCCCCTGGCGGATGGCGGGGGAGGGGAGGGGGCTTGAAGCCGGAGGGAAAGGGTAGTCCGAATCCTCCAGTTGCCAGAGCCTCCAAAGCTGATCCGGGCCTCGTGAGGGGACGCCTCAACGCCCTCCTGAAGACCTGAGATGACACCCCAGACACCCCGGCCCTGGGCTCGGTGTTGCTCGCTCCCCCTATTCCCCAGGAGCATCTGGCGAAGCTGGGGGAAAGGCAAGAGAAAGCCATCAAGGAGCCTGTTGTTGCCGCTGCTGCCTAGAGCCTTTGGCTCCTCTAGTTCCTGAGGCCTCCCACAATAGGGTAAGGGGCTGACCAATGATCTGGGTACCTGGCGACCCAGCATCCTGAAGCGGAGAGCTCTACTAGGACCATCAAGAAGCCGGGACCTGGAGCTGTGTGTTGGGTGGCCCGAACCAATTTGGCCTATCTGAAACCCCAGGCCTTGGGGCTGCAACTGTAGGCGTCAAGTTGAGCAGGGTATGTGTGCCCTCTTGGGGAAAGGGTTAGAAATGGATCTGACTTTCACTATGCTTGGAGTAAGCTGGGACACCCCCCAACACACACATGCGCGCGTGCGCGCGTACACACACACACAAATACACACAAACGCTTGGCCATCTTCAGATCCCTCCCATTTGCCTTCCCTGTGGCTTTGAGACCCCCATCCCTCTGGAAGTAGGCACAGTCTGTCCCATTCAAAATTCTGGAGCCCTGATTGCAAAGAGGCTAAAGGTGACTGGGCCACAGACCCAGAAGGTAGAAATCCACGCAACTTTCATCACCCACCCGAGCCTGACTCTGAGAGAGGGCAGGCGAGCTCCGCGGGGCCGAGATGCAGAAAGATGCTACCTTAGGATTTAAGCGCTGCCAGCCAGAGAGTGACCAGCAAAGCCGAACCTTGGGAGTCAAAGTACTATAGTTACTAATCCTGGGCAGGGGTAGAGAGAGCTTGTCTCGGAATGCCTAGGGCAGTCATTTGAGCTTGTTTACTTAAGGACTTTGCAAGCGGAGCGCGAGCGGAATAGTAGGATACTCCTAGAGGCAGCAAATATTTGCAGGCTGAAGAACGAAGCAAAGCGGGGCCGAACTGCCTTGTCCCTCCCACCAGGAGCCGCGGCGCCGGCCTGGGCGGACCTGAGGGCGCGGTTACCGACTGAAGTAAAGCCCGGAACCTGCGGGGCTGGGAGGTCGGGGAGAGCTCAGAGCAGCACCGATGGCCAGAAACCGAATGAATGCACAGCCCCGGGCCCGGGCGAGCCGAGGACTAGGGGAAAAGTCCCTTCCCATTCCAGCTCTATCAATCTTCCTTTGATGCGATCGATCAATAAAAACGAAGTGAAAAGACAGTGGTCGTTGTGAGT